TTTCCATCATCTTCTGTAGGAAGAGATGTATCACATCCTCGAAATCCCTGCTTCTCTCTGCTGACTGTAAAGGCAGCTTAGTGTGGATAGCTTGGATTCTACATGTCTAATGTTACCCGAGATTAACCCCAGAGTGCACCTCCCTTGTCCTCCAGTATGCAGGGCTGGACCTGCTTCTCCTTGGCCCCAATGCTTTTAGGAGTATGTCCTACTAGGAAAACCCAAGAACCCAGCTACAGAAGCTCAGAGCAGGGGAATTTTGAAGCAGGTTTAAAGAGAGTGAGCTGGCCCAATAGCCCAGTACTGAGGGAAGAAAATCCCTGCCATTGCTTTCAGGAGACTGGGCTGCTAGTATGTGAGGGAAGGATGTGATACCTCTCTTCTAAGCACCAGAGTGCCAGTCCTTTAGGCCTGGAGTACAGGTCTTGTTGCACCAAAGGACCAGGGTGTGACTCCTAATAAAGCACATCAGCACTGGGAAGTGCTGGAGGGATCAGGTACAAATCTCAAGCGAGCACTTTGGGAAGGGTGGCTAGGTTTCCTATTGATCTCACTTTTACATCCCACCTGGAATGGGGCTGGTACCTAGCTTTGTCCAGCTGGGTAGGCTTCAGCAGGCTTATCGGAATCAGATTCATTCCAACCTTATCTAATGACATCTCCAGATTTCATGTTCTCTCTAACCCCTCTGTCCTGCTAAGCAGAACCAGAGCAGCAGGAAATGGAGAAGAGCTACCGGTCCGTCTGTCCCTTCTCCCTTCTTTACTACTTTGCCAGATATAGCTGCCTCCCAACATAGCACTCCTCACCTGTGCCGGAAACTGTCCCGCTCATCTCTGTAATCAGAGACAGCCTGTGATCTTGACGTGCTGCCCCCGCCGATCACTCCTGCCCAGTATTCATCATCGCCATCCAGGTCCCCCGCAGGAGGGAGAGGTTTCCTTCGCACCTGGCGGTAGGGCTGCCGGAAGTTCAAGTCCTCTTCATGCAAAGAGCTGAGTTCAGAGATGGTGTTGTTATCTGCAGGGGAGGTTGCAGAAAAGAAATGAGATAGGCATCACCTGATAGCATGTCTGAGAGGGGAGGAGTGGACAGGAAGGCTGTGGTGAGCCCAGCTGCAGCTTTTTCAGAAAGAAGCTCAGCTTGCCCCCCATTAGAAAAAAATCAAAATGGAATCCAAGGCCCTTCTCCAAACCCTTGAGTAATCCTGCCCAAGACTCCTGGGGCTCAGTTTGGACAGAGCTGCTGTTAGACCTACAGGTCTCCTGAACTGTTAGCTGGCAGCCAGGTGGGATATTCTGAGGGTATCGCAAATGGCATCAGCTGCCTGTGTTCCAGACAACTGAGTTCAGCCGTCATGTAGAAATCCCCCCTCAGCCCTGCTTCAGTAACACATGTGAGCTCTCCGCTCTAGCGAGGTGGGCACTGAGCTTGGTGGAACATCGTCACAGCAGTTGTGCCACCTCCCCCTTTCCTGGTGTGAGACAGGCTGGCTCTAGATTTGGCCTGACTTGCCCAGCTAAAACAAAAACAACCCCCTCAAAAAAAGATTAAGAAAGAAGTAAGAGACTGACTGAATCACTGTCAGTCTCTACCCCGTCAAGCACATTGACATCTGGAGGCCTGACATACCAATCTGGAGAGGTCTTTTTATAGTAAATCTTGTGGGTGGAGAAGACAGTGTGCTCAGCAATGACTAGTTTAGAAGTATATATAATTTGTTAGTTATGCCTAATCTGTATAGAGCTTTGATGTACTGTCATTCCCTAAAGCCCTTACCTCCATTGATTTGCAGGATCTCACGCGTCTGTTTTAAATGAGCTTCTACCAGTGCCTAAAGTGGGTTAGCTCTGCGCGAGTCGGATGCTGCCTGGAGGAACCGAGCCCCCAGCCTGCTGCTGTCCGCGCACAGAACAGCTAGAGGACAAAGAGCAGCACTGCAAGCTCTCCTCACGCACACACCTGATCCCGCCACTGCACCTCTGCCTCCTAATGTGGAAAGACCCCCACCTGGGTTTGTATTCTGACACCCATTAAGTGCAGCCTCAGCCTTTATTTAGGGTAATAAAGCTTGCAAGAGGCTATCGGAAGACAGTGAGGAGTTCCACACAGAAGGTCAGTTCTGAGTTTGCATCACGTCCCTATTCACCACCCTCCTCCCCTTCGCCTGCAGGTGTCTCACTGCCAAGCCGTCAGTACTGATGCATGTACCGCCTCTGATCTTAAGATGACCTGTGTCACAAAATCTGATGATCCTCCTTGAATCTTTCTTGTAGTCCCTGCTCCTTCTGCGGGGCAACAGCCACTCCAGACTACTTTTCTGCGTCCTTCAAACCACATTGTGGTCATTGCAGCCCACAAAACATGCTTTCAATAAAATCATCCCTTTCCTATTTTGCCATGCTGGGAATTTACAGGCACCACACTGTAAGACATACAGAAATTGTGAAGACAATATCCCAGCTATTATCACACCACAGGCTGTAGAAGGCATAAGTACGGACTTGGCTTTTCACACGTTGATGATCCAGAAGTTTAATTATCGAGTGGACAATTTTCATGAGCATTTGAGTATCCCTCACCTTGTTTGCTCTTATTAAGGATGACTAGGTAAGCAGCAGATCTTTAAAATCAGAACATACCTGTATAAAATCTAGACTTTATCTGCCCCGAGTACCATATCCTGGACATCATATCTTAGAGGCTGGCTCTAAGGCAAAGCCAGTGAACTTTTAGCTATGAATTTGCAGTCTTTTTCAGGTCAGTGAAAAAAAAAAACCAAACCATGCTTGTTCCTCACATCGTTCTCGCATCCTCCTAGCTGGGTCAAACTGAGCCAGTTCTTTCTCGACATAGTACAGCACCTTCATGGAGTCCCTCTCCTTGTCAGTCTGGATCCTGTACCCTTTGCGCACTGCTAGGGAGAAAAGAAAAGCATTAGAGGAAAACACACTTAAGTCCAAGGAGACTTTCCAACAATATTGCTTCTATAGTTGAGCTCACGTCTGCAGGCAGGTAGGCTGCGTCTTCCAAAACAGAGTGAGTCAGTCCTTGCTTCAGAAGAAATTTGTCTGTAACGTGGGATGTGAAGTTGTGAGCAGCTGCATCATTTATAAAGTTTGCAGTAACAGCAAAAATGATTTGGAAATGCCCAATCTGTACAACCAAATGCATCAAGTGGTGTCATTGCCACAGAGTGATTCCACCTCCCATAGAGGATGGCAGAAGGAAAAGTAGCACTCATTTCCCCTTCCTCAGCACTACAGAAAGGATTTGTCATGGTATGGGAGAAGCAGTCCCAGAAGATCAAGCTTCCTCTATGCAGCAGGAGCCATGAGCTCCCAGTCTGCAGTGGAAGCAGGTGGCTGAGCATTTGGGAGCTGTCACTCTGCAGGACCACTGCACTCTCCCATCCCTATGAATTCTGCTCACGCAGGTTGAAGAGCATGTGGTAGGAGAAGCTCCACAGAATACAGAAGGAAACACAGAAAGTCCCACAAAGCACGTCACACTGCCTTGAGATTTATATTGAATCCAATGATGGGGCCAATCAGGTCACTGGGTAACTGTGAAACTGCCTGCTCTGGCATTCTTTACATGCTTTATTTTACAGAAAAGGTATGTCTTACACATACATTAAGTGCTTGACTCCTGGAATTACTCCATTTGCAGGGGAAGTCTGGACAGCTTTTTTGGCTTTTCCGCCTTTCTGTGTGTAGAAAAGAAACCCTCCACACACCTGGAGCCACACCAGCTCTAGCTCCGGCAGGCTGACTCCATGCACACTTCACCTGCTAACCCTGTGAACAGCCTGACTACCTCAAGGCATATCTATAGTCAGCAAGCAGAGAACTCCACGTATCAGGACTTTGAAGAAAATAAGGCTTTTATAGCAGATTATTTAAGAAAGGTCTCAGCCTGGGGCTATTTTAAGATTGACAGAAACACAGGTCTAATTACAAAAGAGGACTACAACCCTCAAATTCAGCCTCATTAGAGAACTGTTGTGAGGACAATTCACTTAGCACTACAAAATGGAACCTGTCCGCCTTGAATGGGGTTAACATATTCCCTTGTGTGAATACTGCAGTGTTGCATGAGTGCTCCTCTTATGGCACAATTTAAATACTTGGATGGTGGTTTTGAGCCAACCTTTCTGTTTTATCCCACACCCCGATACATCAAGCTACTAACATATGGGTTTGGTAGTACATTGCATAGTATGCGCTGTGTGGGCTGAACATGGACTTGGCAGAGGTATTCTTAGGCACCTTCTGTCCTAAACTGCTGTGCATGTGTCTATGCACTATTAAATAACCATGCTCTGCTTCAGAAATGGCTGTGCCATAGAAAGGGGTAGAATGATTCCTGTAATAATCCCGCAAATTGCTTCAAGAGGAAAGTGCTTTACTGTGGGTTTTGACTGTGCACATGTAAGGTAAGTAACTACATCTTGAAATATTACCTTGTGTATCCGTACTTGGGAAAGGTATTAGATGTTAAAATATAGCATAGGTCTATCAGGGTCCTGTTTTCAACGTGTCTCCAGATAGCTTAGCTGACAGCAGTCTGGAGTTTCGCTGTGTTTTATTATCCCCAATTATTAACAATAATTATTTATTGTTTTATTATGTGTGCACAATGACTGCAAATGCACACAGTGATTTACAGAACACAAGGAACCCTGCCTCCGTCTTCCAAAGTGGAAGACCATCATGCCTCTTGAAGTGAGGCTGCTGCTATGAAGAGGGGCTGGACTGACTGGCCTCAGAAGCGATGACTCCCGCTGCACTGCACGAGCAACAGCAAGGCGAGTTCTCCACCTCACCTCACCATCGTGGCTGACATCTCTCTGGTACCTTGCCAGGAAAGAGGGCTCTTGCTATTCTTTCTTCTAATGTGTCTACTAGGGGCTCAGCGAAGCTGCCACCTCATTTATACACAGGCCAGCAAACAACCATCAGCTGGAAATGACTCTGACCTACTAATAACCTTTGGGGAACTTGAACAGGCAGCTTCCAGACTCTGTCTCTCCAGAGCCACTACTCACACTGAGGCTGTGCCAAATATCTATTTGGGCAACATCTATAACTCCTGGAACTGATGGAGAATTAGCTCGGCTTCATGCTAGCTTCATGCTGGACTTGCTACTGCAGCTGTGTATCAAAAGGCAAATAAATTTCTTGGTTAATTCTGTAAGCATCTAGAAATTAACTTTGGATTTAAATCTGCAAAGATGACCGTGAACAGCTCATAAAAAGTATTTTCCATTATAGACGAAGCATATTTTGTCTCTACGCTTATTTATTAAATACTTCTCGCAATGATATTAAATGTTCAACTTATTAAATCTCTTTATTATTCCTTCGTGTGAGAACCAAAGATGATATTGCTTCCTTCTCACACCCTTCTTCATCTGTAAATTGCCATAAACCTTTAATAAGGTCTGAATGTTTTTAGGCCCATCTTAATTATAAGGCAACAAAGATGCAGAGACGTTAACCACTTGTCCAGAACCATTCACTGAAGTCAAAGGGAATGGAACATTCTTTCCTGTTAGACCGTATTTTCTTCTCCTGAACAGTTCATAAATTTCTAGTGTTTAATTTGTATTTAACTAGATACTTTTTTCATTCTCCTATGGGTGGAACCAAGTCAGCCAAAACTGTAAGCTGTTTCCCTCCCCAGGAAGGACAGCGCTACTATTTTTTTCAGACAAGTGTGGTTAGGAAGTAAATGATGTCTCATCCTTACACACTTTCCATATTAAAGGTCTGGAGTCCAGCTCTCAGATCAAAAGCTTCCCTGTGCACATGGTTTACGGAAACTATGCAAGAGTCTCCAGGTAACCACTGCATTTAAAATAGAGCATACATCCTAACTTATGTGTTGCCAACACTCTTCTAAATAAGAGAGATGAAAGTTTATTTTTCTCCCTGTTCAGCCCTAAGTTTAGGATGGAGTTCCTAGGCTTCACTGGAGCTTTGTCACATGGCTTTTATGTAACCCTACACAAACTTTCTAAATATCCTCATGCCTGAGTTCACTCACTAGATCATCTCACAGGGATCACTTATAAGCACAGAAACTATCTAGGGCAAAGGCTGTCCTTTTTAGCCTGGCAGCCAGGATTACAGAATCCTCCAGTCTCTGTCCCCCAGCACTTCTGATCCCATTTTTTTTAAATAAACTTGACAGAAAGGTTGAGGTCTCAAAGATACCAAGTTTCAGATCAGACCTACACCAGCTGCATGGACACAGAGACCATAATTAGCACTCCTGAGAAAAGGCCTTTATTATAAACTCAACCATTACCTGTTTTGTTTAGCTTGCTGTCTGGCCAACCAGCAAATAAGTAGCTTAGAACAGCCACACAATGTTTTCTCTTCTACAGCCTGTAATTTGGGGATATTCTGGCATTGTGGAGGACCTTAAGAGAAAAGGAACCTTCCTTAGCTCCACAGTTCAAGGAACACCTTGAACAACAGGTGCATGACCCAGACTAAGGGTTTTTCCATATCATTGCAGAAAACATTAATTAAAAATAAAAAAAGCTTAAGAACCTCTGTTGTCTTGCCACAACAGTTAAAACTCTGTAATAATGGTTTTATTTGCAATACGTAGTATTTCCTGTCAAGTCCTGAGTTGAGCCAGCTGATTTGGATTATATAATAAATGCATCTTTCTGTGTAATGAACATGGGATGCTAAGAGCCATTCCATTTGGTTACCAAACGCAGCCACAATTTTTCATTCTGCATTTGTGCTCTGCTAGTAATGTACAGCAGAGCGAGACTGGGGCTGTGATCTGACTCTTAAAAAATCCCTGGAGTTGCCACGGCCAACACCACACTCCACATGCAGTGACATTTTTCACAGGAGAAAAAAAATTAAGCACTGGGCTGTCGTCCACCATTTTCTGACAAAGGTTTTTGAACTGAGTATGTTCTGCTTTGGATCAGTGATTATTTCCTATTTCAAAATGCTCCATTCCAGAGGTCTGTTTTGATTTGTGGGAAAAAAATAGTATGATTGTTGAAGGAAAATACTTTTTGTAATTCCAGAAAGGTTAATATACTGACTGGGGCAGTGGAAGGATGTTAGGGTTGTTCCAAAAGCTTAATTATTTGATTATGCTACTTGATCTTGTCTTTTCGGAAGTGTCTTATCAACACATTGTCATGAGCAAATTTAACAACTGATAATTAGTGTGGTGCTTTAAAATCAGACATGCGGCTGGATCAATGACAAACATACTGTCTCAGTATGGTGACTCTACATTGGTGAGAGTCACTTCTGCTGCAGCATGTTTGCATTTAAACAGCCACTCTGATCCTGAAATGCTAGCATGTGGCTAAATAGCTACCCTCTTTTTCCTTGATGGCAGCTTCCTTTGCAGCAGGAGAAGTGACCCCCACCAAGATAGAGTCATCACACTGATACTCTCTGTCTGACATTGATCCACAACTCCTTTCTAGTTAGAAGCCTTTTATCGCTCACATTTCACAAATGCAAAGGCTGAACAAAAAAAGTGACCTACTGACTTCTGTAAGGCAGGGGAGGGGGTCCAGCCCCAAATGCTCTTGGGCAGAAACGCTGAGGGAGCATGTCCCTGTGCCCAAAATGCCACCGGGACAGTAAAACGCCGCAGCAAAAACTGCTGCCAGAGGGCAAGCAGTGCCCCAGAGGGTAGGAAGAACACTTTACCAAGAGAGAGCCGCTTGCGAGGCATCATCTGTAAGGGTAAAATGGCCACTGCCTCTGCTCCCCTGAAATCATCTTCATCCTTTTGTCCTCCGCAAGTAAACGTTTGCAGCAGTAATGAGACGGGTCCTGGGCATGAACTTGGCCTCCCATTCCCTGCTGACCTAATTAGACACCCACAAACTGACACTGCGCTGATGGTGCTAGAAAAGTTGGACCATGTGGCCCTAAGGGATGCAGATGTCATTGTCAGAGCCAGGATTAAAATGCAGTTTCTCTGTGTTTCTTCTGTTCATACCACTGTATCAGTGACAATCATCCCTCCTTTTCCCAGCCCTGCTCCCAGTAAGAGGACTGAACGTTGTGCCTGGCACTGCAAATTACCGTTTTGACTTCCTCCGCTGGAGTCATTTGGGGCCAAGGGAGGGGGGTGCGACTTATCCATCAGCACAGCAGGAGACGGGACACCAGCTACAGGAACACTGGGGATGTAGTATGGACCTGGCATGGAGGAGACTGCAGGAGGGTACCCAGCTTTTGCTGCTTTGCCTGCTACATAGACTGAAAAAGAACAGCAGTCAGCATCACACCAGCCTCCCACAGACCCACACGGCACGTGGCCGAAACCTGCACATCACATTGGTGACAACCCAGCAGGAGACCACTGGACAAATGAAATGACAAGGACCAATCTGAATTTCTGTAAGCCTCAAAGGGCACTGAGAGGAGTTTAAAAAATACACGACAGGTCAGATGAGCCCTGCAAGATGCCCAGCAGTTGAAAGACATTCAGAGTGTTACCGCCAGTATTACCATTGCCATGACTTAGTGGCAGTTCAGCTTTAAAAACAACTGATGACTCAAGCAGTAGGGATGAGGCTCATGAAACTTGACAGATCTGCCTGAGCCTGACCAGGAACCTTGCTGGGTTGCAAGGATTTTGCACTGTTGTAGAGGGCAGCTGCTTTGCATTGCCAGGAAGAAACCTCCCAGGATGCTCTTAGCTCTGACCCACAACATTCAGTGACACGACAACAACTTTGGAAGGGGAGCATGACACTCTGGAGGAGCAGGCACAGCTGCCAAGGCAGGGAGGGCTCAGGGAACTACATTTGTAATTAACTTTGAGCGCTCAACCATTGAGCAATAGCTCAGATGCTTCACTCCCTAAGAACTAGTTCTTTAGTCAAGCAAAGTGCTCAGGGCAAAGGAAGCAGTATTAGCAGATTCTCCTCCTGTTCTGCCAGGGAGCAGAAGTAGTGCAAGAGGAAGATTTGCGCCAGGCTTGGACAGGGTCACTCACGCGCCCGGGGACAGCAGCAGGACTCAGGGCAGCAGGGGCAGCGGACGTAACAGCAGCAGCTGTGTGGGCAGCACTGGCACCAGCAGATCCCCACCAGGAGGAAGAACAGGAACGCCCCCAGGATCACCAGGCCCACAAAGACCCACTCTGGAAAAAAAGGGGAGAAAGAAAGATACTTACAGGATTGCACATTGCTGTGGAAGGGAACGTCAGCAACATCCTCCCAGGGGAGAGCATAGGGGCAAAACAGATAGGTGAATAATAGAAGTGGACCTCCTGCTGGTCTAGGACTACGTCCCCGCCTGTGTCGAAGCAGAAATGGCACGTGACAATCAGAAATGGAGCTACAGAAATGTGGTCCCTTCCTGCGATGCCTCTGGCTGGCTGAAAGGCGAGCAGCACAGAGGCAGGAGCTCTGGTTCCCCAGCACAGAAACCCTTCGCCCCACGGCAGACCTGTACGAACACCGCAGGACGTACTCCATTAGCATTTGGATCTCATCAAAGACTCATTCTTCCCAGCCATGTTCATGCCCTGCTTCTGTGTTTGTTCCCTCACATTCTAGTTTTAATGGGACAAATGATGGTGAAAAGCATGCTATAAATAGCCCAGTAAATGAGCCAGGCCTGCCCCTACGCAACTAGGCCCACGCATGCAATTATTCTTTTGAATGTGCTGAACGAACATCCTATTCAGGCACTGCAGCCAGCCAGGAAACCTAACAACCCTCTCCCCTCCCCGCTGAAGCCTCAGATGATGTCTGCCAGGCCCTGAAAGGCAATGGCTGAAAAACACCCTACAAGTGAAAGCACAGAAGAGCTGGTCCACAAAAACCAGGATGGGGTTTGATCAGAAAGGGGAGCAAGAGAAGCCTTCTCAAACTTCGCTGCTGGGAAATCTGCAGCAGCAGCAGCCGTGGTGGGAGCAGGTGCCCAGCCTGTGCCGGGGCAGCTCCCAGCTCTGCACCTGGCCACCCTGCGCTTTGCAGGGAATTGCGTGCACAGGGCTGCACCTACCACCACATGGCAACTCCCCAGATTAAGGGAATGGTCAGTGAACACAGAGATTTCAAGATTTTGAATGTGTAGGAGGCCTGGAGTCGGTTTTGTGTCAGAGAGATGCACCAACCTATCTAGAAGTCAGACCGCTGGTGAGGGAAAATCTGTGGGGAAAGACTCCAGGTGTACCCAGGTGGTTATTCAACCACCTTGGAAAGATGGTAAGAAAGCAAAGGAAGAAGTGGTGGGGCTGCTTTGCAGAGAAAGAAAAGCAGCAGATCACTGTTTCTGGACAGAAGTCCAGCGTTCACTAACAGGTCTCCTGGTACATTACTATTTAAGATGAAGAAGTATTGATACAAGGATTGCAATGTGAGTACAGAATCACACTGGAAAAATAGCGTACCTCTCACCTGCGTCGCTAAGCTGAAAAGTCAAGGAAAAATGTTCACCTTGGAACAACCAAACCAGAAGGTTTTTCTAGTTCTTAATAAAACGCAAAAATAAGAAGTGTTATTTTTGATTCATCCACAGCATTCTGTTTGAACAAAAGTAAAATTCTTTGCTTTGTTGGAGTTTTCCTTAACTCTTCTACAAACAATTCCCTTTTTTTAATACCATTTTTAATCCAGAACTTACAATTTCCTTTAAAAAACGTCAGTGAAAGATCTGGCATTTACAAATCAAAACACTTCATTTCAGAAGTGTCAAGTGAAATGTTTTATATTTTTTGAATATTTTATTTCTTTTTTGGCTGAAACAGATGAATTTCATTTAAATTTGCAGATAATTTTGGTCCTTGTGGAATAATTTTTTTTGGTGAAGTTACTACATACTGAGAAAAATCCAGCTAACAAATAAGGAAACGGCTAGAGGGAAGCATTCATGAATGGAAAAGTAAGAGCTGAGAGGAGATTACTGATACAGTTCCTCAAGTGCCGGCTCTAGGAACCACCTTATTTAATATTTTACACGAATGATCTTTACACAGAAAATAAGAATGTGTTAATATATCTTGAGGGTAAGAGGTAGGGAAGCATTGTCACTAAAGATGAAGACCGGGATATGTTATAGAAACGGCTAGTCGGTCCTTGGGCCTGCAATAAGAAACATGAAATGCAGCAATATACTGAATTTCAAGGTATGCAGCAATACTTTCAAGGTCACACGTTCAAGGATTAAGAACAATTTGTTCTGAACAGGACTTCATTAGTGGAAAACAACTGAAAAACAAGAGAAATGATCCAGTATACTATTCCATCATGGGACAACTGTAACTGCTTATGCAATACAGCCACAAAAATGGCAAATGTATCCCCATGCCCAGTAAAGGAGGAATTTCCAGTAGTGTTAAGGAAATCTTAATGCCATCATACAAGGCCTCCATGTAACTTCATCTGAAGTTACTGATGTTATACAGCTCTGGTCACCTTTGTATAAGAAAAGATGAATTCAGGTTGGAGCGCATGCGAAGCAGGGATTTGAGGGGATGAAGGGACTCAATAGCCTGCCTGGCAGCAGAAGAGCTGAAGCTCGCTGCTTTGGTATATTAAAAAGAAGGCTGAGAGCAGACATAGCTGTAAATATGCTAGGAGGATGAATGCTAGGAGGAAAAGCAGGTATTGTAGTTAAAGGTCTTACATAAATGGGCATAAACAGGCTATAAGTAATGTTGATGGGAAGCTAGAAGACGCATATAAAAGAAAGTGATCCAATGGGAGAGAGAAAGGCCAAACCCAGACTACTCTTAAGCTTGCTAAGCTTATGGAAAGGATGAAACTACATGGCGCTTGGGATAGCAAGCAAGATAGCGAGCCTTTCCAGTCCTGTACTTCCTAATCTATGCCAATCTGAGCAGGGCAACAGCTCAGTGGCTTTTTCTTTTGTCATGTTCTCATCTTGTTCCCTATGACCATCGTTGATACAGCGAAGGAGGTGAAATAGTACCGCATGACAGAAGTGGCCAGCCACAGCTATGCAATGAAGCTCAGGTGTCAGATCTCCAGAGCTATTAGTGAACAGTTCACAAATGCTCCATAAAGGATAAAAGCCTGGCAGAGGAAAAAAACAAACAGCAAGTCCATTGTAAGTGTATCTGTGGTCTTTCTCAAAACGTTCCAGGAGTATAAAAGGAGGTCAGGTTAGTATGTACATTGCACATTGCAAGACACTCACTCAGCACCAGGAGTGGATGTTTGAAATCAGTGTCCCAGTCACAGGGACCTATGAATCATGAAGGATTTTACTTCACAGGAAGTTAGACCATTTGCTTCTCTGATGAGGTTAAAAAAACAATGAAAGAGCCTGCTGCCTCCTCCTTTATGCACAAAACTGGGATTCAACCACTTTTACCTGCAATTCCCTAATCCTTCCTCCAGTACAACTGTTATCTTCTGTCACAGTCCTTCCAGATACAACTGTGTAACCCTGAGACTCAAATGACTACCAAGCTGAAATGCTATGTGTCCTCGCTGTCTGGAAACTACTGTTTTGTGCTTGCAGGAGCATCTGCTTTTGTTTATTCAGGTAACAGGCAATGGTAACAGCTGAAATGTGGTTTGCCGCTGCCTTTTACACTTCCTTGTTGTTTATACCCATGCAGTGAGGGTACCAGAAAGCTACCTGGCCAACAAGAATTTTATACTCATTCAATAAAATTGTAAATAGTGGGGGAAAAAAAAGTGTTAGGCAACAGAGAATCAACTTCTGTCTATGCTGAAAAGACCAAACCCTCTCCTGCCATGCTGAACTTCCAGGGAGCTTTGGGTTACACTGGAGGCGGGCGAGTGTCTGCCTTCCCTCCGTTTGCATCTCTGGAACAGACTTGCAAATAGCTTCACACATTTATGTGGAGTTGCATTCTTCCACAAACGTGTGAAAGAAACACTCCTTGGGCACTGTCAGGGGATGATCAGATGACTCAAGGGCTAAATGTTCTCACAGCTTTTCCCTTTCAAGGACAATCTGTTGCACAGTCTCTGTTTCCTCTGCAAGGAGTGCCAGTACTGGTGGCTCTCATTAGTTTGGCTAGGGAGGGATTTATCATGGGCAGAGAGCTTTCATGTCTGGTCCAACCACCTTGTGTTACCTAGATAATGCCCTCGCCATGCAGCACAAGAGGGGCTGTGCCACTGATGGGTTGCTAACCAGTGCTCTATTTCTAGCACCTCCTGTGCTACCATCTGTGGTGATGGCTATAACAGTACCCGCAGGATAGGGTCTGGGGAGCGGAAGTTACTACTGCACAAGACCAGCTGACGTACAAAGCCATACGGGCACAGGAGGCTGCCTAGGTCTCGCAGGCTGGAGCGGCGTTACCTTTGTGCTAGCAGGGGGAGAGCAGAGAGCTTGATATAAAACTGCCCCTGAAGAGTGTTGGCAGTTCTGGTCTCACACTGATCCTGGCATGACATCAACCATCTCTGTACGTTGGCTCCCAGCATGGCCATTCCTCCCCCAAGTCCCCCAGCATCAGCTCTCCCAGATCTCAACCCAACACACTTTCCCAGTAAGCGACAGGCTTTTTCCTTTTTAACCCCAGATAAAACACACCTAAGAGTGAAACGTACACCACATAAAGATGCTGTAGAAGGATAAACAGACAAGATGACAGAGGACTGGGTGATTGAAGGGTGAAATGACTGAATACCTGGCATAATCTCCACAGCAAAACTGGGCAAGAGATCAGCAAGCAGCCCTGTCCTGCCTAGAAAAGACAGAAGGAGGAGAACAAGGAGAGAGGTTACTGCAAGAAAAACACACTCCCCAGCCCCTGCTTTAGCCTCCAGTCCCCTTCCTCATCAGCCCACTTGCACTCTGTTAAGTGAATTCCTATCAACCATAGATGTCATCCTGCTCGATGGCTGGTGTCTGCCTCTGCAATTCTGCATTTCTGTGTCCTTGCATTTTATCTTTATCAGCAGAGCTGGGGGGAAAGAATCTGGAACAGAGCTTCTCTGATCTAGGCACAAAATGACAAGAAGAGGGAGGTCCCCTTAGCGTGGTTACACAGTAACATCTTTCTGGAGTTATGCTCTACACATGCAAAAAGCTCCTGGAAATGCGCGACAGCCCTCAAACAGAAGGATTTAGTTTACTTTAAAAATGTACTGGTGTAGTTTGGATGGATGTGAAACATCTTTAACCCAAGGCTCTTGACAAGTCAGCCACATGCATCCAACACCCGTGGGTGGTGCTCTCCATGTGGGGCTCTGCAACTGCAGAGACAGCTCCAGGAAAGGAATCTTGAAGTGAGTATGCGCTACTTATTTCAAGATGCACGAGCAATTTGGTGATATTGGGTGATATAAGGCCAACTCTCAAGCGAAGCAAACCAACCAGGGAAAGATTCGTGTAGAAATTTGTGGAATCGCTTTGCAAAAGGAAAAGGAAAAAAAAAAAGCAAGTCAACTTCTAATTTATAACTGAATACAAACAAAATCCAAGCCCAAAGGCAGCTTGGTGCCTATTTGTTTCGGCACTGAATGTCTGGGATATTTCTAATACACAGCAAACATCTTGCATGGTGTTCAGCTATAATTTACACACACCTGTGCATCGGCAGAAAAGCCCTATGCGCAGCTGTGCTGCGTACTCTTACATAGCACCAGGATCATGCTAGGTTTTTCAAACACATGCATAAGGTAGCAGAGCTGCACTCTGAAGAGAGACATACATTGTGGATATAACATTACAGAAGCAGCTAAGGGTAAGCCAGTGCAAAAGTGGTAGAAAGCTACCTTTAACCTCCCCACAAGCCCTTCAGGTCCTGCACTAAGCAGCACTCAGACACAATGATGAACTGGATCCCAAGTTCCTTGGCCTCTAGTCTGTCCTTGAGCGTGTTATAATCAAATTCCCTCCGTCCGTTTTTTCTCAGTGCTTCAGCAGACGTTCTGTAGAGATCAAAAATCCACAAGGATGCCTGCTGGAGCCATAATAAACATACTCTGAATGCAGGCAGTGCTTTGCAACCAGTTGCAACTCATCAAAGCTGTCTAGTACTCACATTAACGCCATCATGATGAGGTGCTCCTGAAGCCTTAGCAAAAGATACAATGCTGATCCTTCAGATAATCTACTACTTTGAAGGCGGACTCTTGCCATCAAGTCTACTGCAACATTTTCATTTACATATACAAAGAGTTTCATTACATTCTTTGCAGTCCATTTTCTGGAAGAATCAAGTGTCCAAATGGCTCAGAGCTAGGCTTGTTAACGGGAAAGTACTCATGTATGCTTTCTGCTCACAAGATATAGGCACGTATACAATATATGTGTGGCTTAGTCTTGGGTGCCACAAACACATGCAACAAATCTATGCGTTGCGTCACAGTATGCTAGATTTATATTACGTTCCACGTGCATATTAAATATATTCCTTATTTTCCCAGCATGCACAAAAAATGTACAATTTTTGCATAGGCCTCTCTGTGTGTTTGTGTATGTGAACAATGTACATGTGAACCACATGCATGAAGAACATATGGGCAGACACGGGCATGCAGCTTGCCTCCCATGTGTTATTATCTCCGCACAAGCTCACGTGCAGCCTTAGTCTGAGAGCAGGCGCCAATGGACAAATAGCTGGACGTATATAGCTAATTAGGGCTGGGATTTGTGGTACCAGAGGTAAGGGAGTGACACCTACAAAGAGCAGAAGCTCCATCTTGCGAGTCCAAATAGGTGCCTGCTTTTTTTTGAACCTACCCGAAGAACCTCGATCCCTGCTAGCGCTGGGTCTTATGGTGCCTCCTGATCCTCAAGAGGAACCACATGTTCAAGGGGGAAGCATCCCTCAAAAGTAACAGTGCTTGAGAACTTGGTAACTCGTTACAAAGACAGCCAAAGTAGCTCCTCTGTGCTACCTATGAGCAGTCAAGTATTTCTCTGCTTGTGCAGCCTCACTTGGCTCTGCTGAGTATCTGCTTGGGGAATTTGCTCCCCCTGCCCTGCCAGCGGGGCTCGCACAGCCCTGGGGGCCCGACAGCCACCAGCGGGGGATGCACAAAGCCCAGGGGGGCCCAAGGCAGCAGCGAACCCCACCACGGCTCAGCCTGAACTCTGCCGCCTCGACTAGCCCAGCTGACAGCCAGCAAGCACAAAGCCCGCCTTTGGACTGCCGTGCTCCTACCGTGCTTTCAATGCACCGCGGCTCTCCCCCCTCCTCATCCTGGGCTAAATTAATTCACTGATAAC